CAACCAGTTTATTTTGATAATCCAACAAAATTATTTTCAGATCTGTATTTTAGTTAAATTTTTAGATACTTCAGCAAAACCGTTCTTTCCGTGCTGTTGCTGATGTAAACTCGACCATCGCATCGACAAACAAACTGAGCGCATTGATCCTTTGCAATCCGACAGATATAATACTGTACAACGATTCGTCTTTCACAAAAAAAATATCAATAATTTTTAACAGACCTTTTAATTTTTATATGTTACAAATGTATGTAATATGTATCTTATAATGTATTTCCCATATTACATAATTCCCACAAAAATATCTGAGAAGGCAAGGATTGAAGCGCACGGATAAAAAATAATAAAAAAGAAAAAATGCATAGTGTGAAATACGTGACGAGAATAGGTGCTATTTGGTAGTTAAAAAAGCAAACAGGGGACGGAAGAATAGTGAAGAGGGCTCACGATGAAAACATGTAGGTAGTTCATTTATAGGTAGAGAAAAGATATTTTATACGCGATGTATTATACACGCGCGTCCGGACGAAACAATGTGCCCATGTGCATGTTGATATATGTATGAATACACGAAATACCATTGTGCGCGATACCGATTACCGTTTTGTCAGAATTGAAATCTGATTATATTCAACATCGCGACGAAGAGAATTCCTCGCAGTGAGTCGTCACAGCATTTGATGCAGTTCTCATGCTGGATTTATGCGTCTCCGATGTGGATTAGTGTTTGTCAACGAAATTCCGTGGTCCCATTCGTGAAACATGTATCCCACGACATAGTAAATATTTTGAATTTTGGGTTAAATAAATCACGCCATGTCGCATAATTGAGCAATAAGAAACTTCCAAATAAGTCAATTGTGAAATGGAACATAAAGTCGAGAATAACAGATATTTCATAATATCTTTCGTATCTAAAAATTTGTTAATTACTTCAAATATTTGATACAATAATGTTTATTAATGTTATGAAACTATGATACTACGACGTAATGATAAAAATTGCTTGAAAATAGCACGAGACTCAGTGCTGAAATGAACCGCATCATCCAGTTTGTAATACAGTGTGGAATACATGGCTCACGATCGTGGAGAAAATTCTCTTTCTCTGGCTATATATCTACTAGAGCTACGATCCAGAAAGAGAGATTATGATCAGAGAATTGTCAACTATTTAATTATACGAGCCAGTAAATATAATATATAAGCATCGATGATTAAATTAACTAACTACATACGCGCGCGTTCTTACAAACACATACACACAAATACATAAAGAAAGAGAGAGAGAGAGAGAGAGAGAGAGAGAGAGAGAGAGAGAGAGAAACCTTCCTTTGTACATTTATAAAGCCGACAATCGCGGCTGCGATGTAGAGAAAGAGACGTATTAATCATGGTTTAATCGGAGCTGAAATATTGTTAACAGCAGCCGTTTGTGCGAGGTGGAGAAACGATGCAATTTTGTGTCCAATTTACTACGGTCGCAGATAACGCAAGGCGATCATCCAGCGGTGCATCAGTCGTTCTAATTCTAACGGAAATGCACATGGTTATTAGTGCGTCCGCGGCGTGACCCCGTTAAGAAGCCGCAATTTTAACACACCTACAACCGGTCGACGACAACAGACTGGTATATTACCGCGGTTAAAAGCAAAGACAACGACTGTTCTGTCCCCGTTTCGCCATCAGTAAGGCGATATCGCGCTGCCATGCAGAGGACTATCAGCGAGAATAAGACTTGGTGGTAGTAAAAAAAAATTGCTTGGAACGCGACGTAGTTGGCTGCAGTTACTCCCTTACCTCGTTCCCAATTAGAATGGAAGTTTTAATTGCGGAAGCCTGGGGTCAAGGTGACTTAATATAAAATCCGATTATATTAACTCGATTATATAACCGACGTATGGCAGCGCGAAAGATTTTTATGTGTTATAATATATAAAAACAATGTTTCTTCTTCATCTTTCTTCGAGCGTTCTTAACAATTTTAGCAAAAATAATATCTTTTAAATCTGAAATACAATTGAAAAACACAAGCAATATAAGATACAGGAAATAACTAACAGTTATCAAAAATCGTGTATATATGAAAGTATACAGTTTCTGATAGATTGCAATTTGTTATTCCCTGTTCCTGTTGCTTTCAATTGTCTTAGGCTTTTAGCGCTTGGAAAATTGATGAGAATTTAAGGATTACGTGAATGTCAGTTCCGGGAAAAAATTCTTTTTAGACATTCTGATCAATTTTCATTAATTTTTCCATATCCAGGTGCTAATGACATATTATAATCTGCGACGTATATAATTAATTCTTGATTTATAGAGCATGTATGAAAGGATCATGAGATCATCTCGTTAACTGCGACTGTGGCATACGATATTAATCATTATTACCCTTACTAGCGCGGTAATGCGCGCGGAATGTATAAATTTTGTATTTGTTTGTTTATTTATTGTTAGGTAGAGAGCGAACGTGGCTAGGCAGACATCACCAACTTTAGATGATCGAGACCCTGTGACTGTTTAGCCTTTAGATTTTATTAGCGACGTAAAAATGATGACTAAAATATTATTTTGTTGATATATACATATTATATATATAGATATATAATTACTATTGATTATGAATTACGAATAATCTGTAAATATACGAGAATACCGCAATGTTGTGTTTCTCCTATAAAATTATCTCGAGCGTTGTCTCTCCTCATCCCGAGATTTTTCCAAATCGATTTTTTGCAAACGCATCCTTTGCTGAGTATTACTATACTAATCAGAAACGACGATAATTAGACTGATTATCGCTGCCATTTACCTTAATTTATCGCTATTTTTTATCATTTTTACTGATAATCGCAAATATGTGTTCGATGTCTCCAATTATTATATCTCCAATTATTCTTTTAATTCAAAACATGGATATCTGAATGTTTTTTTCAAATCCAGTTCTGTAAGAAAATCTCGATTTTATCATAATTCTATTAAAGTTTTATATTCGATTTCACCTAGATAGAACACAAAATTATAATAAAATAAAAATTAATAGAAATTTAATAAAACTAACTAAAACTAGATTAGTTAATTAATCATTTATTTTGAGTATTAAAAGTATTATAGATGTACTTGTAATACTCAAAGTAAATGATTAATTGACTAGTACTAATATTAAATTTCTATAAGATAAGTATAACTGATGTCATTGTGATTTTTTTCTAAAATAATAAATAAATCTTTCTATTGAAGTGCAAAATAAAATTATTTTTACTTGATATAATTTCGATATTATTATAATTTTATGTTCTACCTAAGCAAATTTCGGTTTATCTGCAAATTTATGAAATATATGCAACAAAAGTTCATAAAAACAGTATTGTTTCGTTATATTAGTGTCGAATTGACGATTTTAAACGCGAAATGGAACAGACGATATTTTATATAAACTCGTGTGAATTTATGTTACATGACAGTTTCATCGATCTCGAAAATAAACATTATTATACGTATAGTAGCGAGATTCATATAAATTTGCATAAATTCACAGCAGTAAAGAATTTCACACTATACGCGATTCCATGCATTGATGATTTTCCTGACAACAATAAAAATCAAACCGTAAATCGAGAATATACGAAAAGTAAAAGAAATATAAATGAAACTTCTAGGAGGCGAAAATAGAGATAACGAAATGTAAAAGAAGCATAAACAACTCTTTTACATTTCGTTGTTTCTATTTTCGTCTCTTAGAAACTTCTTTTACGTTTTTGTCATTCTCTTCTTACATTCGACTTACATTCCGATTTTTATTTTTGCCAGAATTTCCTCGGAATCGGAACCGGGTTCGAATTCGAATGGAAAACTACTATGACAATAAGATAGTCGTTATGTCGGTGAATCAATGAAACGTGCTGCGAAAACGAGACATCGAATGCGGATATTTTATGAAATATTTCACAAAATGAATTGTAATTCAAATCTATAAATAATTATCGCGATACAACGAAAATCATTTATACATAAGTGGTAACTAAACTCTGTGGAAAAATAAATTTAACTATACAGTCATTTTCATCAATTTCATTCAATAAATTATACTTCGTTAAAGTATCGGATTTTATAGAAAATGAACGCTGTTGCTGTTCCATTTTCGGTAAGTCTCTTCTTCCCTTACAGAAATTTAATATCAATTTATTACATTGCAAGACAGTAATTAATTACTTTTTAAAAGTACTAAAAGTATTGGGCAATAGTGCTTTTAATATTTAATATGTAAATAATAATTATAATTACCATCTATTACTGTTAAATTGATCAATAATTAGATTTCTGTAAAAGTTTCAGATCTCATTATTATATTCTTGTGATCTTACATATTAATATTAAATTCAGTTCAAGAATACTTATACTCAATTCGAAGGAATTCTTGATAAAAACACTTCAGAATAAATTGAGATTGGAAATCGAATAAAAAATATATCGATTGTTCCTCTGGAATTTCGTTGAGTATATATCTGAATTTTAAAAATCTAAAATTTAAATATAAAAAAATATTAAACATTAAACATTAAAAATATTAATTAATATAAAGATGAAAATTCTATCCGAGTTTTCAAAATGATCAAAACAATCTCATTCCAACTGTTGTAGAATTTGCGTAAATTTCAAATAACAAGATCAATTTCGCTCCAGTTAGCAGCAGTTGATAAGTCAATGAATTCTATTCATGCTGGAATGTACATGTATTATTTTCAAACAGAAAAATCAGCAGAGAAAAAGAGAGAGAGAGAGAGAGGGGGAGGAGGGGGGGGGGAAGAACAGCATGCGCATTGAAAGCTTTGTACAATCCCTGTCAAAGTTTAATCAATTTTCGCGATCCCGAGCATATTTCACCAAACGCGATGTAAACTTTCTTAAAGGACTGTACTGCGCGAGAAAGAGAAAGAACGATAACCGCTTGAAGTTGTCTCTCTCGGGTGACGTTTCGCAAGCGCCAGTGAGCGCCGCGCGGTTCTAGATTGGATAGAGTTCAGTAAGGTCACCAGCCTCGCCGGTACGCGGATTTATGTTTCTACGTGCTCTTGCGTTTCTCCAGGATCTTTTTTCGTGTTGAAATCGCGCTCGCTCTTTAATTTCTCTCTCTCTCTCTCTCTTTCTCCCTCTCGCCACGTCCGACGTCCGACCATCCGACCGCGACATCGTTCCGTCGCGAACAGTCCGACGATAGTTTCGCTCGTTCCGCTGTGCTCCGCTGCCATTTCCGAGCTGTCGTCATCGTCCGTTTCCCACGGACGCGGGGACGCAGTCGGCCGACGTCAGCTGCTGATACGTCGCGCACAAGTTCCTTCCGCAGTTCTGAGGAACCAACTTCTTCTCTACAGAGCAGTAGTGCGAGGTACGTAGGATCTTATCTTGCCGCAACTTCCCCCCCCCTCGCGTCTTCACGCAGCAATGCATTTCGAGTCCCGCGAGTTCCGTCAATGCCGGTTACCGCGGAGGTTAGGCGTTCGCGCGCGCATCTGCTCCGCGATAGCTCAGATAGCTGCGATTGCGATATGTTAATTCAGTCGGCGAGATGAATAAACGTCCGTAGCGTGTCGCGACATTAATCCAAAATCGACGGATCGATCTCGACACCGCAAAGTGAGACTCCGATTTGAGAAAGGAGAATCAAGTCAGATCAGTGTCTCAATATCGCGATGGGACAAGCTCTGTGGGAGATTAATTCTTAAGACTCTTAAGACTCTTTCTATAGATTTCAGGTAGAAAAAAAGTCACATTAGAGTTCGACTCCAACGATTCTTAACTGTCCTTAACCCGTAAAAAAAGTGACAAAAGAATGTACATATAATTCATCGGCAGCCTTACAAGTGTAAGTCCTTGGAATTTCCATGTATTTTTGAGTAAATACATAACAAAAGAAAGCTATTCTTCATCGCGGAAATGATGACAATCTGTCTAAGATATCATTTGTACGGAAACATATGTATTTGAGGATTTCGATAGAATTCACGCAAGAATTCTTTACAATAGTCTATTAAAATATGTTATGGATGCTCATTAAAGGGTCGTGCGTAGTTGTTGAATGTTGGAATGTCGTTGCGCGATTATTGCATTCGCAATTGTTCGCAATTGTACGGAGGCGGGGCTGGGGGGAAAGGCAGAGAATCCATATACGGCTAACTTCATGCGAAAATGAGAAGTAACATTTGCATTTACATGAAATTAAGCGGTAAATTGTGTCTTGCATAATACACGGCGCTTCCTAACCTCACAACTTGCTCGATGATGTAGGAATTCTTCTTGTCGACGAGAATTATCCTCGGAATTATTACTGAGAGATATATTGCTTATTTATTACAAGGACAATAAAAAAAAAATTTTCGTTTTTCAAAAATAAGTTTGATATTTTGAATCATTAAAATTTTGTAATTAATTTTGACATGCAACTTTTATCTAAGAACTGAATAATTGTCGAAGAATAAAAGTATGTATCTTTAAAATGTTTTTTCTTTTTTTTTCATGTTTGTGTTTCTTTTTTATAAGGAATTAAAAAATAATAATTTTTATGTTATGGTAAATGAGCGATATTGTGTAATATTTTTATAATACTAATATATATATACATTAAAATTATGTTGACTATAATATATGTGGTAATTAAAAATAAAATTATAATCTCATTTTAAGTATGTAAATTATTTTGTAAATAATAATTTTAAAATATTTATTTTGTTTTATTATTCTAGGAACAAATCAAAAAGGAAGAGGAAATTGTGAAGAATATAAGAGGATATTTTCACGCAAAAGAGAGAGAGAGAGAGAGAGATGGCCAAGAAGACTCAGATGGTAATAATGTATCTTCTAAAATACTAAAAGATCACCATTCAGCATTGAAATTAAAATGTTGGATTCTGAGAGAAATTGATTTTTGAAAGTATTTAATAACAATGGCAGAAAATATAGAGGAAAATATTAATAAATCAGTGGAAAGCAACATGTCAGAAATTTCTATAGCAGACGACAGAATAGTTTCCTTCGATAAGGAAAATCATGAACAAATAAATATCGACGAACCATCTACTTCTAAAGAATCTTCAGACATTACTGCTGAAAAAGAGAAAATCGAAGATACGGATTTACATAATTCCGAACAGCAACAAAATACTTCTAAAACTGATTGCAATGGAGATTTGAAGGAGAAAACTAATCCCAAGAAGATTGAATCTGGGACTATTGAATCCGGGATTATTGAATCTGAGATTAAACCTTCCGAGACTAACAAATCTGAGACCAAAGATAGCAGTTTCAATGAATCTAGTTCTGCAGAAGCAAAGATAGATGACACCATTTTTGCTACCACTCTACAGAGTAGCTTAAATGAGATCATAAAAGTTGTTCATGGAGATTTGGCGATGGAGATACTCCGATGTTCTAATGATATTACGGAAAACAATGACGAAGAGAATAATGAAAAAGATCAACAAACGGTAAGGAAGGAAGATGACGTTTCGAAAGATGATACGACTGACAGTGCAAAGGAATGTACTGTTTTCCCGACCGCAGAGGACAAAAATGATTCGAGAGAGTCTTCGAACAAAACGGAAGAGAAATCAAACATCGGAATTGTTCATTCTCCGACCGCGTTTGGCGAACTTATTGAAGAACAGCTTGCTAGCGATTCTGCATTATCGACTGATCGCGCGGATCACATAGTAGAATGGGTCAAAAACTCGGTGGTAAACGCCAACAAGGAGGGTACTATTGTCGAAAAAAGTAAATTTAAGATATATGAAGAAAACACGACGAACGAGGCAGAGAAACGAAAGATGACTACTGTCACTCCACCTTTCATATCACCCAAAAAATCGTTGAAGATAGTAGTTAACAACATTATAAAGAAGAGTATTAAGTGGTGAGTAGCATATGTTTAATTAATTACTGATTACTAATCGCGTTAACCAAAAACCAAGAATAAAAGAGTAGAAGGTAACAAAATATTTCTCGACTAAAACATATCATCTTTAATAATTATTGTACTTCCAATTCCTTCTTATTTTTCAAGCTAAATAAAAATTAAATAATCGTTCTCTAAACCTTTCTCGTAAAAAAAGCGTTTCTTAATAAAATCTCTACTTCATAAAGAGATATCATATATATTTTCTTAATATTATTTGTACGATAAAATTCCTAAAACTTCAGAAGAATTCGATTACAAATGATTTTTTAAATTCATGTTTGATGTCAATTTTTTCGTTTCGAAACATTATGAGAATTCGCGCAATTTTGACACCATCGGGAACACGTTAATAATCGGTTGCGCTATAATTTTGTACATAAGATATTTTTGCAATATAGCGAATAATACTCCTTTTCCTTGTAATCGCTGTTTGATGGTGACTGAGATATTGGCGTTATCGGCTGATAAAGCCGGGATAAGTGGCGAGCCTACGAACGGACGCGCAAACGCACGTTAACTACGTCGAGAATCGGGGTAGAGAAAGAGAGGTGAGGTGAAGACGTTGTAGAAAAAAAGAAGCCGGAGGGAGCGAAATATTGACCGTGGAACGATAAGCAAACGGTGGTGTCGATAACAGGATGACTATTTCTGCAACGCGTCCTCTCCTTCAATCTCCGTTTATCTACAAGATAATGTGCGTAGTATATCCATTTTCCGTATTTCTGTCACAAATATCTTTTTCCACGTTCTTGTCTTTTATTTGTCATCTAAACCACATTAAGAGGAAATTATAGTTCAATTATATATTTTTCGTAACAAATAAGATTTATTAATTTATTATTATTATTTTTTTTTTTTAATTTTGGAGATTATTTGGAAGTACAAGTGTATTTAAAATTAGTTACGTCCGTTATTTTAATGGAATTGTTTCTTTCTTATCTTCCATTGTGTGTTTTAAATTTAAAACTGTGTTATAATTTGAAAAATTTAATTATATCAGAAATTATATCATAAATTTGGAAAATTCACTTATCTATCTTTCAAAGAAAAACTTTCATTCATTATATTATTTTTTTACTATTTTACTATTTTAGTAATATAATGTATATTTTAAAAAGATATCGTTCACTTTGTATTTTTGTTTTCCACTATTTTAATTATCGTAATTAATAAACGTTTAAGAAGAAAATTACAATAATTCTCTTGAAACAAAGGAATGATAATTCTGCTATAAATTTATACACCTAGAGAAAGGTTTTCTTCGATTCAAAGAAATATTTCTTTGCTATATGGTTGAAAAAAAATTTCTTTGATTTGAACATAATTTCTTTAAATCAAATAAGTTTTTTTTATTTGCTTTCAGAAAATAATATTCAAATCAAAGAAATTTTTTTCTTCAACCGTGTAGCAAAGAAACATTTCTTTAAATCGAAGAAACTTTCTGGATATAATACTTTTTATTAGTACCGTTGAGTTGTCCGTTGGAGAACATCTATTTTTGAACACAAATCGTGAAATGTGTTTTTCTCCTTAAAAAAATATGCACTTAGTGCCTGCAGAAGATATCATTCGAACAGACGGGAAAATAAGTAATTTTGTCAGTTACCGTAGTCACAGTATCAATGTTTCGATGACACGAAGGTTAAACAGCGACAATATGCTGTTGATGACGCCAAGCATAACCTTGCAGTTGAGCAGTACTGCATCTATGAAGATGTTATCGCTATCAAGACATTACCTCAATCTTTACGTTTACACATCGATACATTGACAAAAAATGTATAGCATTGCACCTGAGTTAAAAGCTTGTGCGTACGCAATAAACAACTTCCTGGATTAAATTTATCTGATCTCCTCTATAATTACACATTTTTGTTACTACATACATGTATCCACAATAATAAATAGAAATTCATTTCTAACATAAACTTGGTAGAATGAATGAGAATAAAAACTGAAAATAATTTTAGATTTTTATTAGTGTCTATTTTCAAAGCTATAAATTATTAATGCTTTACAAAAGCATAATCTTTAATAATCTTTATAAAAGTAAGATTCTACTTTTGCTCTAAAATGTTATATATTGTATCTTTTTTATATAGGTATTTTATAGTTTAGTTGTGTAATTTCTATTCCGGGGAAAACTCAACAGAATCCTCTACCCATAAATTCTTTTTCTTAGTACTTATGCATTATTTTAGAAAGTTTGAGAAAATCTCCTTTGTTCAACAAATACTTTATCATGTCTTTCAATGTTCAAATTCTTTTGCAAGCAATATTTCGTAATCAATGGCGCACAGTTTAACATTCAGATTAATATGTCAAATCTCTTGTTTTATGCAAAGAATTCGGATTTTGAATTTAAATTTCTACAAAACAATTTGAATCTGCTAAAGCAATAGCACAAAAGCGATAAAACATTACGATATTATTTTACGATTGTGTATCACACATGCTTGACTCATGATTATGCCAATTGGCACTGAGCTGTTCGAGGAACTGTCTTACAATTTAATTTAACAGACTCATTTTCTTATATATCAATATAAAAGACAACAATTCAGAACACCATGATTTATTGATAAAATTTTACTTTTGCCTTTTATCGTTTTATTATAAACATTTTGCTTTACTACTTCGCAGTGATTCACTGATTGGAATTTCGAAAGGTTCATAAAGCTATTTAGAAAGAACTATTTTATCTAAAGCGCGTTTCTATATTTATATATAAAACGCATTCTTCTGAAAACTGGTTTTTTTAAATATGCTTGCTATCTTCTTCTTGCTTCTCTTTCTTATCATATTAAAAACGTTTTATAAAATTTTTATATTGATGATATTTTATTAGCTTTATGGGTAACTGAGTACTGTTATCCAAGGTAGTTTCTAGAAGAGTCACCATGCGCGATTTATTTTTTGAACGATGGATCGACAAGCGTTTTTCCGAGTGCCTCTCGGAGTACCACCACGTAACCGAGACTTGAGATAATTATAATACGCGATCGACCAATATGTATATGCGCGCGCGTGTTTCACGGAGAAGGCTATCCAGTTTCCATGGTCCCAGGCCAAGGCTGGTCTCACCCTGCAGGCGGCGGCGGCAAAGGCAGCAGCAGCAACAGCAACAGCCAGCCGCCGCCGCCGGATGAAAGTAGAGCTGCTGCGACGACGCAAGAGGGGCGTTAATCCCCACGAACGGTACCATAGAAACGGTACCGCTAGGGTCGTTATGTGCAGTCACCGCTTACCGGAGACCAACCACTCCGGTACCGATTCGAAGGGCTCCATCTACGCAGCCCTTCGACTTCACAGCCCTATTCTATGCACGTCTTTCTATTTCTGCATTCGTCGATATTTAATATTTTCTCATGAACGTTTCTCAATAGCAACATCACACGCTTCATTAGCGAGAAAAGTATTTTATTAACTTAACTTGAGCTTAAGGGGATCCTAAAGTCGTTACTGATTAAATCAGATAATTTTTGTATAACAAATACTTTTTTCTCTTTCAAAATCCTTTTCCAGGATTAAAATATATGCATTAATATGTGTCTGTGAGGTGGAGTTTATGCTGAGAATTACGAAAAATTTTGAAATTGATAAATTTTTTACCATTTCTTAGTGTAACATGGCGTCTCAAGCTGTTAAGTCGTGACAACATTTGCTTGATACGAAAGTTTTGTATACTTATGAAATAGTAATCTCCACAGACACGTAGTTTGCAATGAATTAATAACGTCGAGTTCTTAGAATTAGACTTAGATGCTTTATGAATTTGTTATACGAAAATTGATACGAACGCGCGACTGCGTATATCATATTTGCGTGAGATATTCGTGTCGTGGTAGTATATGAAGATGAAAATATGTCGATTCGTTGGAAAAACGATGATCTCTGGTGACTTCGTCGGAGTTCAGGCTTTACTTTAGGATTTTCTTAAGAGATCTTAGATTAAAAGTGTACATATACAGGATGTTTCAGATCTAACACATCACGTGCCAATGGCAGATTCTCGAAGTTATTATTTTGAGATTAAATTCTAATACCAAAATATCGAGGCTATAATAGTTTTTATATTATAATCATTTAAAGCTATTAAAATTATACCATCTAAAACTTGCACTTCAGATATGACATAACGCAAAGCGTTGAAAGTAAAGGCTAAAAAATTAATATTTTTTATTAATATTGATATAAATATTACATAGGCAACAATAAAATTGCTGATATTTCTTTTCTTGATTCTCTTCTATTTATTATGTTAAAAAAATGTTTTGCCTGAACATTATAATACAAAAGAAAAGACTAGAATCCACAACGAATCCAACGACTCAACATTGTTCTTACTTAGGTTGAGTTTCTCGTGTTTAAATCCATATTTGACAGAACTTGCGGCAGGCGGTCGACCATCTAAAGACCTTGAAGAAAAAGGAAAAGTCTTTGTTCACAAGTTCCTCGGCAAGGAACCACAGTCACATGTTGGTGATGGGAATGATGACTATGTGTTTTCGTATAGCGTGCGTCCCCCTTTCATATGAACGCACGCACAACCGTATGCTTCTCTTTATATGTAGACGTTCAGAAGGGTGTGCGTAATGGTACCACTATGGCGGAATTCGGGGAGATAGATTTCTGCTTCGGACTCTTTTCTCCTGCTATGAGAAAAGTGTTTCTATCACCTTCAAGGTCATTTGACCTTACATTTTTCAACTGTGGTAGTCTGTCTACAGACTCGCTTTGTATAAAACTAATCAAAAATCGATTCTCTGCATAAAATAAATTTAAAAAATTGGACCTATTTTTCCGAATGTTATCATTATTTACGAAATATTGTCTGCGTGAAGATTTGAAAGATATGATAAAGTATTTGTTGAATAAAGTTTATTTTTACTTTTCTCAATATTTAAATTAAACGCATAGATATAAGAGAAAAAAGCGCTCCATTTACCATGCCG